CATATTTGTGTTGTTTTGCAATCTCTGTGTCTGTGTTTGTTGGTATTTGTTTTCTACTTTACAACTTGGTATGGCTTTGCATTCCGATCAAGTCTACAAGAAACTATTCTTCTCGTGCGAAAAAACAATCAAGAAACATCCAAAACCTAAGCATGTACTTGGCGTTACAAACTGTCTGCTGTTAGAAGTACTCGTCATTGTAGTATAATTAAGGTTCTTTGAGATTAGGATTTTCTCGGACACATCTAAACATCCAAAATCTCTCTTGACTCTTTTTACTTTGGCTCCGCTGATCTGCATGCGTCTGTGTAGTTGAAAAGGTTGTCCTAAATTTCCTTTTAGTATGCCTCGCTTGGTAAGGAATCTGACATTAATTTATGAATTAAAAAGACAACACTTACTAAATCCAACAATAAAATATAAATCAATTCTGTACGTTTACTGTTGTATGTTTTAGAGTTCTAGAACCACACTTGTAAAACATTTCTTGGTATCGTAGCTGAAACCGATCCAAAAATTATAACGAGCAGTAATTTGGTGTGTAGGCCTACATTTTGTCTTATGAGTGATGACAAAGCTATAAGGAGTTTACCAAACTAATATATTCTTTTTATAAAATGTCTTTAAACATTTCTCAATAAGTAAATACATCTCTGTATTAATCTTAGGTCCAAATCTGTAAAACTGATTCCTTAGTTAAGGTTAGTTACAAACAAAACACATTTTTAGTTTAAATCATTTTTGTTTATATTTTATTAAATAAATTCCTGCCACATTTGACAGTTAAGTTTGATGGCAGTCGTAACAAATATCACTTGTAAAAACTCAAGTAACAATGATGAAGCTGAGGTTACACTCGAACTGTCAAACATTTAAACATTGACGAAATGAATATCTAGTGGTATTCATATTCAGCGTCTCTTCTACATCCCACGGTTTATATTTATATCCATTCCCACAATTTTTTTATAGTACAGATTGTTTGTTTGTTTGTACTTAAAAATATTTATTTTGTGTTAGAGCACACTTTCATTTTTTTATGGTCAGATTTAACGAGGTGTTTTCAGCAATTTTTTAAGTTCAATCGAGCATCATCTATTGTTTTTCCTCATGTAATTAAATGGACGCTTCAATAGTGACAGCTATGAATACGTTTAAGAGTTCTGTTACATGAAGATTATCTTTCAATCTGAATTGGAATGAAATATGATATTTTTGTAAAATATGACATCAAGCTAAATAAAAACTGTTTGGATAATAAGGCTTTAAACAAACATTTCATACATATATTTTAGTGGGGGTGTTAACATAAAACTTTTAAATGAACGAATGAAGAATAATGTTATGATTCCTATGGATTCCTATTTACATGTTCTATTAGTTATTAATGACTTCTCACTTTATAAACAATACCCTAGTCTAAAACACACTACCAGCTTTGACTTTAAGACCTCCATGTCGATAGGTAGTCACATTTTTTTTATATCATTTGACATTGACTGAATCTGCTTCTTTATGTCTAATTGGATACAACAACAGTTTTGTAAGTCATTTGTTCCTATCCTCTGATATTAAGATAAAAGCGTAAATCACTTAATATAAGATGTATCATCAAAATAAAAACATTTATTCTGCACCAACTTCGATATATAGAGTTGCCACACATCAAACACATACTAAAACATGCTTTGTATTTTACAATACAACTAGTATTATCACTGAATCCATATTTGATGGTACTCAGCTATGAGATCGATGAAACCTTTGGGACTATGAAAAATATAACAAGATATTTTGCATTTAATGAAAATATACTGAAAAACTGTTTAAATATCCATCAACAATAGTTATATATCTAATTTAAATTCCACGTTTGAACTCTATTTAAAAAAAACTCACACACACACACGCAAACTTACATACTTTAAGAGCTACACAACGTCAAATTTTTTTTTAATTAGAGCAATTCTTTTGTTAGAAATGCCAGCCAGCAGAAAGATTTGATAAATGGTAAACCAGTACATATGTCGAAATCACAACAAACTTAGCATATTACAACGGAATCAAATAGAACGGTTTTATGAATTATTAAGTAGGGTTTTGTTTTTAAAAGTCATTTGTGGGAAACACAAAAAAAGATGCTATATAATAATTGAAAAACGGAGGCCAAGTTTTAACTTACTGAACAACTGACATAAGACAAACTATTATAACATATCAACTTAATATATATTTTAGATCAAATAGGCTAAAAAAAGCTGTAGGTGTACATTTTTGTTGTGTATACATATTGAAATATGTTCGAGCATGTAATTCTCGAGCACAATAAGACGAATAAAAATTCAAATATTTAGGTATTTCCCTCATCTTTCTTACTTTCAATTCCCTTATCTAGGATAGACGATTTATTAAAACAAAATTTCTTAAATAATGTAAAAGTAAAAACAATTTCATTGAGATTATTAAAGTTACAATGTAGATTACCATATTTTATAGCTATAGATACAAAAACTGGTAATTCGAAGCAGGACGATTTAATAAATTTTAGGTTATTACAAATTAACGTAATACTGATAGTTAATCCTCTGCATGAAAAAAATAAAATAGATAGGCCTAATGTCATGTCAAAACTACTTTATTAAATTGCCCTAATAACAGATGGAGATAAACATAATATTTTATGTGTTTTTTGTACTAATAGTTCTTTCATTCGTAAATTGAAGCCTATTAAATTCATTTATTTGCATTAAGTCATTATCAGCTGAGTAAAATTCATTAAATTGCTATTTATATCAAACAAAATACTCGTATTTTATTTAAATCGTCTGATTCGAAAACTTGTATGTAAATACCAATATACGTAAATTACGTAAATAGGACGTATATTCACTAACTCTGATAATACAAAATTCACAGTAAATATCAATTTTCATTATCACACAACACTCTCCTAATAACTTCTTTATTTTATTTTTTGCGTGTGTTTGTAATATCCCTGCTTGGGTTTCCTCCCTTAGATTGGGAATCGCCCTTTTGCAAATAAGAAGCACCACCTTCTACCCTAGCAAGCCATGTTTCATACACTGTCTGGTAGAATTAAGATATTGTACCATGTTGAATTTTTATATTTCTGGTAAACATGAACAGCTGTTATTTTAGCCCTTGTTTCTGATCATGACTAAACTTACCAAGAAATTATGTTAACGAAATAAGGTGCACTGTAGTAAATTGTTCAAGAATGTCAAACTTATAGAGATTTTTAACAGCGAAGGATAATTGACCCCTATAGTTAAATAAGAATGGTTTTAAAACAAACCTCTAAAATGACGTTCCTAATATGTCAGTAAGCTCGCATAAGCTACCCTTTTTAACTGTTAAATACTAAAAGTTGACTTACACCATCAACTAAGTTGGGTTTAAAGGCATCAAGTTTATTATTCAAACCAAGCTAAATACTAAAAGTTGACTTACACCATCAACTAAGTTGGGTTTAAAGGCGTAAAGTTTATTTATATTCAAACCAAGCTAACTTATACTTATTAATCTTATAACTCAAGGAAGGTTTTTGGTACGTATACATGAGCTATTTAACTGGTACTTTCATATAATGTTTTTATAATTATTCCCTTGTGTATGTGAGTCTTTGAATAGGATAAAAAATTTTAATACATCAAATATATATATATTTGAGTTTAATATTTTACCAGAAACTACAATATCCTGCTGGCAGTGATATTGTCGAAAAATAATCTCGGTGTTTGTCGCTGTAACAGAACTAAGAATACTCCCCTGAGGATGATTGTACAAGACAAAAGCTTTTTCGACATTCCCTTTGGGGGAATAACTGCTTCTTCTTTGTGTGATTCTAACACTTAATCCCTTCCCTTTTCCAAACTGAGTTCCAAGGCTACTTATAAACACTTTACGGCTAGCCAGTTTTGTGTTAAGAATTATTGCAATGGGTTAAGGTTAAAAGTGATAAGGTATTGTTATTTTTCAAAACAGTGAAACTGTTAATAGTTTTGACTCAAAAGGTTCAAATAAAAATTTGTCGTAGCTTTATTTTACATTAAAGATTTTATTAGCTAAGCCTTCTATGTTTTTGCTAAGCAACGATACTAAGGTTAAGGGTGAAATGTATAGAAATGTACAGAACTACGTTATTCTAAATTGCAGCATGTAAGCCCCTTAAACAACTCAGGCTCTCCTGCTTAACACGGTTTGATATTTTATCCTATCCTAAGTAGATACGTCGCTGAAGCTCCGTATCAAATTGTCAATTTATATGTAGATTTATCCAGATCCTACTAAAATTGTGGACTTTATATGTTCATTTTACTACCAACAAGCCAAAACATGTAGCCTATTTAAGTTGTTGGGTGCAATATAGCTTTGAGCCTGATTAGTATTTCGTTTTTTGTTTATATTTTTAAGATTTTCCATAAAGAAGCCTATGATAAAAGTTCATTTACTTTACTTTTATGGAATGAATTATATACCCTCTAAAATATGAAACTCTTTCAGCATTGCATATCATTTCCTAAATAAGAATTACCTATTAATGTTAATTCCTTTAACGAGGATAAAAATAAACATTATTTTTTGCAAAATCGGTTGATTTTTTCATATTAATTTAAACCCCTATTACGTACTTAATTTATTCTAAAATGGTAATATCTCAAACATTATATTATAAAACCCTAAAATAGCTCAAACAGAACATTCCTCACTATTATTCCTAAACACTGATTTTATACAATATCCAATAATTGCGTTGTCTGTAATATTTCAAAGAACTTTAAACATACAAAGAAAATATCGTAAAATTTAATCTTGACTTATCGGAAAATCCGAAAGGCAGCAAAACTCGAAATCTATATGGACCTAACAGCAATTAACTGCTTGCTATTGTAATTGGCGACTACTATCAACAATCGCTTCTGTTTGTCTTGTTTCCCTCCCCTTTGGCAACTAGCTGAGTAGGCCGGGTTATGTTTTAGACTCTGACGATGAACAGGACGACATTTGCTCGCTGTGCCAGCGACGCTTCGAAGAGCAAGGTAGGTGCAGTGCTAGCAATACTCGGCAAAGCCATACCATCCGTATCGACCTCACTTTACCATTCTGCTATCACCATTGCTATTGCTTCTGCTATTGCTATTACTGTTGCTTTCACTGTCGCTCTTTGGTGTTGCTTCTGATGTTGCTTTGATCTTAGTATTTTTTATCGTAGCTTCATTATTTCTAACGTGTTTTACACAACAGAGAAGGAGCTGTGGGACGCTGAGTTACTCCAGTTTGGTCCTTTACTGATTATACTAGACCCAAACACTGTTTGGTTCAAACATAACTGAGAAAGAGAGTCTTGCTTTTCCCCTTTCGTATAATCCAAAAGTAAATTCTTAAACTCTAAATCCGTTAGTTAAGTAATTAAATGTTTGTCGACTTTGGAATTGAAGTTTAACTTGTATTGTACTTACTAGGATGAGTTTTTGTTGTTAAATAATTTTAAAGTTATATATTTTGTATTAGTAAACTAGACTATTTGTAAATTTCCCAACTACTACTATTACTAGTCTGTTTATGGTTTACAATACATAGACAATAAATTATATTATATTGGACAATCAAAACTTGGAAGCACTATGAATTTAAAATTGGAGTATTGTTATATTTTGAAACGATGGTAAATTGAAAAGAAAAGATTTCTTTCTTTGGGGCATTTTTTGATTTTGGACTCTTCCACAACTGGCAATGCTAAATTAATAAATACCCTAAACAAAACCTACGTTAGTAGGTCATAGACAAAAACTTAAGTAGTCTTTATCTAAATATCTAAAAACTTTGGATTCTTGACTTTTAAAATAAGTGTATATGATATTTCAAGACACATTTTGTCTACTTGTTCGCTTGTCAAGACAATCAACCACAACATATGGCATATGAAAACCACATTTATACATTAATTTACATAGCCATGTTTTCTGTCGTTCCGCCCGTTTGTGATATAATTTTTTTTATAAATCAATTCTATCTAAGTTATAAGGGTATTCTTCTTGTGTGTCGATATAAGTGTATCTTACTATTTCTAATATGCGTAGTCCATTTGATCAATACATAATTCAAGATTACGTATAAAGTGTTGATATCAAATTCTAGGAGAACCAATAATGTAATTCAATTATGCACCTTTGTGATAAATAACGCGAGGAAAATTTCTTATTACTTTGTTAAGTTTTATTTACAAAGAAAATAAGAAAACTTTTCCGGTCGAAATTGGTCAATAAATAATTGTGTTCTCATACTGCTCAGTACTAGGGCTATTTGCCCAAATATGTCGTAATTTAAGTAAATGCTTATTTACCAAGTTTTTTTATCCATTTTAATAAGAAGTCTTATAACTTATAATACTTTGTGTTCTTCACTACTGGGTACAATGTTTTTTAGTAATGACGGGGTCCATAGATTCTTCATCAAACATAATTTAAAAGAGCCCCATTAAATGCCTCTGTTGGTAGTGTCGTGATATACATTACATTCCCATTTAATGTTTATCATGTATAAAAGTGTTGTAAACATTATAAGAATCATTAGGAGACTAATGCAAATAAAAGTTTCTTACATCGTATAAAAGTTGTAGTTGTGGGATATATATATGGTAAATTGTCTTCTTTGGGAATGGTTTATTTTTATCAACTCAGTAAGAGCAGTGGCAATTGAACTTGGATATGATGGAATCTTTTGTATCATTTTGTTTACATGAGGTTTTTGTACCTATTTTTTAAATGGGGGTTATGTTTGTTGGGGGCGCAAGGAAAAGGAATATTCCCTCCAAGGAATGGGGGAGGGGCACAAATATCTCAAACACGCCACATACAAATCTCGGGCCTGAATACAATAACAAAACTAAAAGCTTAAAAATGCATAAACAAAGTTTTATAGTGGGTAGGTAATTATTATACATGATGAGTATTGTGATGGCATACAATGATGTATTTTTCCGTTAGCACGATAACTCGAGTGAAAATCGTCCAAATTGTACACATACATATTGGAACGAGTTCACGAACCAGCATGATCGGACCAAGGGAACGGGGTGAGATTAAAATTGGGATTTCCCAATTTTTGGCCCTTAAAAGGTAAACTTTTGCAATTTTGTAACTATTTTGTAGGCCTCAAGAAAACAAATAATTAGTACGTAAAGCGCTGTTGTACGTTTAATGTTTACGGATAAAATTCCAAAATTTTATTTTTAAATTACCATTTGATTCTTATAGAAGAATAAGTATATTTATGTGGTTTTCTTCTTTATTACATTTGGCGAATTTCTTTAATAGTTTATCAGCTATTAACATTACGCTAGAAATAATCTTCATTAGGTTCACTGTAGCAGCAAAAGTAAGTGCTCATTAAAACAGATCTTATTAAAATAGAGATAAATTAGGTATTTTCAAGGAAAAATGTTCACTAAAATAGAAATTCGCTTTGTCTGCAGGTTTGCTGTGGCGGGTTTTAAAATGTTTTTGCAAGAATATTGGTCACATTAACTCGTTTTTTTTTATATTTTGTCTTCGAGAGCAAACTATTTATATTGATGGTTTCGTTACAGATATCTATAAATATGGCTTTATTAACTTCTTTGACCGTCATGTAAAGTTGTATCAAAAATATAAAATTTAAAGTTAAATATAAAATTTAATCGCTCTCTTTGCAATTGGGTTGATCCCGGGATTAGTTTTTGTAATCTCTAAATCATAGGATTCGTCACTCGTTTGACAACAAATGTTCTACTTGTTATTAATCAGTCCACTGTTGGGGTTGAAAAACTGATTTTAAACTTGAAACATTCAGTTATTTTTCATGTGATATGGACATGGCTCACGTGTTATATGTTTATACTGGAAATTGCCCAGCTTTAGGTCTATAAACGTATTTTCACCATGGTAAAATCAAAATCTATCAGACGAAGATTAAAATTTATCCTTTCCATCTATCACGTAAGCCAAATTAAGCACCCAAATATATTGAAATATTTAAATAGGGTGTACTTATACCTTACTGTGTTGAAAATAACAACACAGTATATATATTAATGAGTAAATGGTATGAGTTTACTCCTAAATCCAATTTATACAGATTTGTATAAGGTATTTACTCACTAATCTAATTAATAATATAATGAAACTTTGAACTTTGCTGTTCGAATTTTTCTAGAAGAGTGCAAGCTACACCATCGATCGGATCTTACGTCATTAAGACAAACTAAACACTTACATCAACACCATACACTTAGATATAAAATGTTACGTACATATTGTTATCAAAACATAAATTTACATAATTTTACTGCAACTGAAATAAGCGTACTTAAACATGATATGGAAAGCTCGTAACCTGAAAGATTCACATTACTCTCAGAAACGCACTGTTGTTGCAATAATAATTCTGAAACATTTATTTAGGTCATCTCAAAGCCTACGTCGTCATATTTATTCTTAATGGTTGTATTTGATTTGTACTCATTTTAACTTTATTTTTAACGAGGAATGCTGTCATATAATATTGCAGGTTTTTTTTGCCTAAAACTAACTACACCTGAAAACGACTCGAAAATAATATATAGTCATTAGTAACAACAATAAATCATCAACAGTATTTAAAATGTTATACATTTCATAAGTTTCCTATATAATAAGGTACAGCTTTGCATTATGTATAAGATGTAGGCATATGCCTATATTATTTTACAGTTTACAGTATATGTCATTAATTGTGATTTATTATATTTACATTATTTTTAGAAACATGTCAATTTCGATTAACAACCTAATTTTGAACCTGTACGCTACCTCAGGTTGTATTTTCCCTGGTATTATTCATAGTTATATCATAAATAAATGGGTGGCAATACCCCAACAAGTTGTTCTATAACATAGCTTCCATCTTTATCCTGAGTTCTTCACAAAAATCTTTGTCTCCAAGACTTTCTCGGTTTTTCTCCTTTGCTAAATAGTTACTTGTTGAAACTAGCAAGAGGCTTGAAATGGTTTCGTTACTAAACCTTTATTTAGTAAGGGGAACTGTGGATTTTTCTCAATATTTATGAATAGTTATTACAAATTATGAGTTAAATTGAGATATAAACTGTTCTACTGCATTTAAAAAAGTAGTCGGGGCTTCTTTACTGATTGGGACGAGGTATCGATGGAGCTGATGGGAAGGAGGGTTTGATTTTACCGTACAAATATTAACATCATAATAATTTATCATTCCTTTTCGTCGTTACACAGTATAACAAATTTATCATTGATTTTTATCCTCATTACATGTCGATGTAAAGCATAATTTGCAGCCTAAGGTTATGTAGGTAATATTAGGTGCTACATTCGGTTATTTTATGTATGTCGGGGATAAGAATAAAATAGAAATTATTGCTTTAAGTTCTCAATTTAGTCGTCAACTTTGTATTCAATCATGAAGAGTAAGGTTATTAAGAGACATATTTAAAGACACATTTGCATCACCAAATCAAAATAGTTCCATACCTATCTTTATTGAGATAAGGCATTTGTATCTATGCCTATCACATATTCATTCGTATAATAGTGAGGGGTATGAACAGAAACCAACTTTCAAAAGTATAAAAAAAATCCATCACAATAATTTGTTTCCTAAGTAGGTACTGTGCAGCTAAGTATAGCGTTGGATATACATGCACCGTTGTATTAGTATAAAATATGTATTGCAGTTATACTCGTGCTTTGCGTTTGCAATGAGAGAGGATTCGGTTTTGTGAAAATTTGGTTCTTTTAATTTACGGTATGCTATAGTATAACACATCTACCATAGCCATTATAATGTTCTAGCACTTAACCTAAACAATAAAAAAAAGTAAATTACCAAATATTTACACAATATCACAATATGAAAGAAAAATATAAGCATAACTGTAAACAATCCTACTTTAAGAGTTCCAATTGTGTGACAGCTTTTTGCTGCTGCTTGGTTCAATTAGCTTTTGTCATAAATGCAAAAATATATAGTGCTGGTATACAGGGTG